AGGCAGATTACACTTTTGAATGCTCTGGCTCTAAGGCACGATCTAGGAAAAAACCCTAGTCCACCCTTTGGCCGGAACATTTTGGCGCCCACCGTGGGGCTACGGTGAAACTCTTCCTACGCCCCAAGAAACACAAAAAACCTACACTTTACCATGGCGAGAGGCGGCAACAACAACAACTCGCAACCACCAACCATGGAGGAGATGATGGCCATGATCAATGGCTTAAGGGAGGAGAATGCGCGATCCAGGGAGAGAGAGGGCATTAACCAGACTGATGTCGGTTCTCGGCCTCATGCCGAGCCGACGTTGATGGTGATGCTTGTTCGTGGCTATGCATGGGTGTCTGACGAAATGGCACGTGTTGGCCCACGTGACCGATACGGTCTCTCCGGTACAAGATTAAATAAAAAAATATATATATTCACATTCACCCATGCTTCAAAGAAAAAGTTCAATTTGAAAGACAAAACATGCCACAAATGAAATTTATAAATTTAATTTACAAAATACGGGCTGGAAACATCGAATTGAAAGCATTAACTCAGACTGAAAAACAAGTTTTACAACACTAATAGTGCAGTGTCCAAGAAGTATCCGGTTAAATTGTTATTATAACCAACAAATATAACAATCTCTAACAAAATTAATACCAGTCTCAGCAAGTTCTTCATTATGGGCAGACAAGACTCAAGAACATGTCCATATTTTTCCAAGTTCCAGCATAACCACTTCACAGCCTGATCCTTTTCTCTCTCTCTCTCTCTACCTCCCTACATTCTACAAAAAAAAAAAAAAAAAAAAAATCATAATGTAGGTAATGCATTCACCACTGATCATCGAGGAAGAGAGTTTTATACAAGTCTATGTCAGGAAAATATTTTCTCGGGCTCAAAGTGGTTCAGGTTCAATTATCAAATTTACACTCTAATCATGTCTACTCCAATATTCCAAATCAGCGCACTGTTCGTTCAGAGAACAATCCGGGATCTTATAACCAGGACCCTTGACAGCTTCCATCCGAAAACCATCACCTAAAGATCCAAATTGTACTTCATCATCGTCACTATCAACATTCTTTGGAGTCACCCGATTCTGGTAGCTTCTTAGTTGAATAAGAAATACATTGAAGTAATAGCTCACCAAGTTTTTTCTAGTCTTTCCTGTAAAGTATTTGGATGGATTGTTCCAAAAATATTTATTTTGGGAGGAAATATTTGATCTCATGATATCCTTAAATTTTTTCTCTTCTTCAGTTGTCCATTGAAGAGAAACTTCCTCACCCATACGATCAAATCCCCAATGATAAAATACAGAACCCAATTCAAGCTTCAATTTCATCCTATTTTCAGCAATATGTAATCTAACACACGCAACAGAACCTTGAAATTCGCAGTTACACTTCTCTTGTCTTCCTCTCCCAATATCTGTTTCAGGAGTAGGTTCTGAGTCATGTTTTAAAGGCCATATTTGTATGCCTAACCATTTAGAGTCACTCTCAGAAACCACACCAGTCCATTCCGGGACTTCTGCTTGAAAACGAGGACCTACAGAAACTTGCTTTTCAAGAGACTCACCCCCAGATGGTTCAGATATTGTTTTTGCAGTCAATACATCTAGTGTTTCAGTTGTTTTCTCCAGAGGACATTTTTCTACCTCCATATTGAGTGAACCTGTCAATCTTTTTCCGTTGCAGCAAGAGCATGACTTAGATTTAACAAAGGCAGGCAGCCTTTTACTACATCTCAATTTCCCTGTAGCATGGCGACCAAGAGAAGCGCGATCCTCATACATGACAGGGTGCATCTTCTGTTTCTGCAAAACATATAATTCCAGAAATTCCTACAGACTTTCCACATAACACTAAATAAAATAAATTTCTCATCAAGATCTCATATTCTAGCAGAAACATTTATTACCGCTTCAATATCAAAACAATAACAATTACAGTGATTCTTGGAAAAACTTATGACGAAGGTTATGATAAATTATAAGAAATAGAAACAATTTAACATTTGTGCATTTGAAAACTATCAATCACCTCCTCTGTATCCATAAAAATGGAAAAATTAATAGAAGCTTGTAATGGCAAAAGTTGGAATTACAATAACAACCAAGCTTTGTCTAAGAGATGTTAGTTACATGGATCAAACAACACCATTATGTTTTATCGTAAATCACCTTTATAGATGAAGAAATTGTTGGGAAAAACAACACACACCAACAGAATCACCTACACACCCAAGAGATCTTTACATGGAACATACTATAATTAATGTGGTGTGACACCTCTTGTCTATGTTCACAAAACCATCTCAAAAGTGTTTCACTATATCCAATATGATTACAAGAATTGTACCTGAACCTGAATTGTGCATTCCTCTACAAACCTGAGTACCCCTACTCCAATGTCACAAGAAATGATAACACGCTCTCACTACAAGAGACTTTCACACAAGTGATCACACACTTGCTCTCTTCTCTTGCTTTTGTTGGGATCATGAATGAGACTTTGTTGGCCTTAATTATGCCATCTCTCCACCTAGCCTTTCATTATGGTAGTAGAGTTCTTCAAGAGACAAGATACATTCCACTAACTTTTGGAATATATCTTGAATTTCCACCTAATGCATTTATTTGAAAAATTGAATTGTTCTCCCTACATGGTTGACTTCTAAAATTTTATTTGTCTTCCACCTCTAGTGATTATGCTAGCCCCTTATATAATCAACTCTTCTTATTGAGGATATTATAAGTCTTCTTGACAAAACCACCTTAAGGCGAGTTTCCACCATGTTTTCTACCGCTTGTGCTACTTTGACTTTTTCTATAATGCATTCATTCATTCATATCCTGTCTAGTATGTCCACTTATCCAACACAACTTTTCCATCTGTGCTTATTTTATTGTTAACCTTTCACTGCTCAACATTTAGTACCATAATAGTTCTTATAACCGTGAGATAGAATTTTCCTTTAAACTTGACTGGTGGTGTTTTGTCACGGAAAATATCAGAACCACTCCATTGCATCCATCCTACTTGAATCCTATGATCAACAACTCCATCTATTTCTCCATTATTCTGTATGATGGACCACAAATACTTAAATAGTGTGATACTCCATCTTTTACCTCTAAGGGTTATTCTGCCTCTTGCCAAACTAATATTCTTTATACTTCATCTTACTTCTACTTGAACAAAAACAATGAGCTTTCAAAGCTTGTTTCCACATCCCAAACTTCCCATCTATTTCCTCTCTTGATTCATTAACTGAATCTATATCATCCATGACTAAGGAAAAGTTTATGTTAGGAAGGTCTAACACAAAAGTTATTTATATTCCACAGGACTGATGGAAAGGTACCAAAGCAAATAAAGAAACATACATACAATTTTTATTGACTAGGAAAAGTATGTGATCAAGTGTCAAGAGAAGTGTTGTAGAAGGTTTTGTGAAAGAAAGGTGTTCAGGTGACTCATATCTGAGTTACTCAAGGCATACATATGGTACAGTAACTATTGGTGTGACGACTCAAAGCCGAGACTAATGACTTGTGACTTTTTGATAAATATAGATTAACATCATGACTCAACCTTGAGTCTTTACTCAATTAACCTAGTATTGGATGTTCTTACTAGGGACATACACAAAATTCTATCTAAATGCATGTTTTCTATAAATGATATAGTTTTTATTAAGGAATCAAGTGAGGAGGTCAAGTCTAAACATCAGCTTCAGAGACATGTTTGAATCTAAGGGTTTTTTGCTTGAGTAGGAGAGTAAGACAGTATATAACTTGCAATATTAGCGAGGAACAAGAGAAAAATGACTTGGAGGTAAGAATTAAATATTTCATACCATGTGTTTTCAGGTTAGAGTATTAAGAATCAATATTAAAAAATGATAGGGAAAATTAATAATGTCACACATATAGGATTCAAGTTGGGTGGTTAAAATGGAGAAAGGTATTGAAAGTTATTTTGATTGCAAATTACCTACCAAACCCAAAAAGAAGTTTTACAGTACTACTATATGACCAGCTATATACTTTATGGTAGCGACTGTCAGGCTTTAAAAGGACAACAAGTGATAAAAATGCAAGTAACCAAAATGAGTATGTTAAGACAAATGTGGGATCATAAGCCACATAAAAAAGGAAAAAATATGGACTGTTGTATACGACATATTGGTATAACACCTATCAAAGAAAAGATGACAAAAACAGTTAAGATCGTTTAGAAGCGTACAAAGAAGGCCACTAAAAGCACATGTGAAAAAAGTATATCACATGATTTTTAATCATGTGAAAAGGGGTAGAGGAAGAACAAGAAGTACGTCAAAGGAAATTATTAAAAGGGATCTCATCAGAAATAATATTCCTCAAAATTTAGTTTTAACCGAGTTCAATTGTGTTTGTAATCTATGTAGTCAATCTCACTTAGTGGGATAAGGATGTTGTTGTTGTACACTCTCAAACTTGTCTTTACGGCTTGTCAATTACCAAATAGTAAGAGTAAATCAGAATAGCAAGTTGAAGATTAATTGTTATGTAAAATTGAAATGTAACTAGTTATAAATATAATATATATGGCGTTACTTTGAGACAATTTAAAAAGTCATACACATAACAAAACCATTAAGTAGGAGAGTTGATTCACATCAATGGATTGATTCTGAGTCAAGTCAAGGTAGGTGTGTTTGCTCTACCAGTTTAATAATAGTGTTTAACATAACTCTACCTGTTTAATAATATTGTCATGTTTACTCAACCTTCACACTACAGATGTACAGGGTCAACTACAACACTAGCTGTTTAACTCACCTATGAAGCATGTCAAATTCATAATGCCTTACAATACATTTCTAACCAGTTTACTAAACTGTTGACTCTAACTCATAACTAGTAATTTAACCATTTTAACCAAACCATCAAAGTATACCCATCTATAAGTTATTAAACTAAATAAACCATCAACAGACTAAAATCAGCATTGTACATGAAACAAAACAAAATTGAAGGCTGCAAGCCAGCAACCTAACATGCATTAACCCAAAGTCTGGCACCGGTAGACAAACATAGCAAGTATTGACCCAGCAAGTTTCAATATTTATCACACAATAAAACAGTAGTCCTTCATATCAAGAGGTTCACAAAGTAAAATAGTCATAGAAGAAAAAGCATATGAACTTTAAGACATTAAATTCAAAAGCAATCTATATCAAAGGTAAATTATCAATTTAGGTTTCTTTCTTCATTAAATTTTGTAATTTATTAAGAAAATAGCCTTTTATTTTAATGTAAATTCTGTGTGTGTAAAGTTAAATGGGTTGATAATATAGGTTTGCCCATTTATACCTAATTAAGAAAACAGTAGTTCAGCAGCAGTTCAATTTATGACTACAAGGTTCACACTATTGTAAGGTTTGAATAGTGGTTGGTGTATGCACCCCATGAGTTAAACCTATGCTTGCTAAATCCCAATAAGGGTAATGACGTGTTATCGTGATCCACGAGCATTAGAATATTTCAGTGAGCTATATATTAATTTCAGTTGATTAAATGGCACATGATGAGAACACTATCAAGTAGATTCCATTGATTATTTTTTAATTTCAATTGATTGAAATGGAATCCAGTAGATGATGAACACACTATCAACTCAAGCAATTCAATTGATTACTTTTTAAATTTAATCAATTGAAATGGCATACAACAATGATAATACACAATAAGCAGATTCAATCAATTGCTTTTTAATTTCAATCAATTGAAATGGCTTTGTGTTGAATACTTTCGTGGTCCAACAGCAAGCAAAAATGGGGGTATTTTGGTCAACTAGCAATGAGATGCAACTTTCATTGCATTTTCCGCGCTCATGAGTGACAAAAAAAAATGACATGGTATTGACTCAATTATCTCTTCTCTCCTCCCTTTTTCGTTGCAACCAAATCACCGAAATTTTTTTGTTTCTACGCTGTTTCTGTCCTTGCTGGCCCTTTTCTACAATGCTTTTTACTCCTACCAAACAGAGCGTTTAAGTTCTTGAAGGAAACTTCATAACACAAAATCTATTACTAGTTGATAAAAAAGGAAAAAAGTTGTTCTTTTTTCAATGTTTGACCCTGATATTTCTCTCATTATGAAGCCACGTCAACCACATTTTTCTGCAATTTCTCAGTGTCATGGATCCCGACAAAACTGCAGTCATAACCTCAATTTAAAACCTTGGTTAGAAGTATTATGTTTGTGCATATATATCATTTATAAGTTTTTTAATATTATTTTCATAATTAGGCTCGTAACGCTCCACAATTTTACTTAAACTCAAGTTGGACAGCAGCTAAGAATTTGGATTGTATGTAAAGTTAATGTAGGAAACAAACAAATGGATTGAGATGATATAATTATTACCTAGACAGAGTTAAGCACATTGTCATGCTTAACAAAAATAAAATAAAATGATAACAACCAATTCAAGCAAAGCATACTGATTTGCTTCAGGAAATGAAACGACATGCAACAATCCTATGGATAAGGTAATTTGTGTATTGAAGTTATACCTGCAAAAAAGACAGTCCACTGGTTGGTTCTTCATGCTGTCTCGGCAACAGAGCTTCCCTTGCCCTCAGAAATTGGCCAAAAATGTCCTGGCCTTTATACCCTTTCCACTTTGATGGTTTTGGTATTGGTTGAGCTAAAGGATCGAGAGGATACTTTGCAATATGTTTCATCCAGATTAGCATGCCAGATAACGTTTCCCGCTTGCGTTTGCGAGATTTTAATTTCTTCACAGCACCTTCTGCACCCAAGGTTGTAGGATCAACCTTAACTCCATTACAAATTTTTTCATCATTATCACCACCATTGTGTTGGACATCCTCAGATTTATTCTTTTGATCTTTGGTGTCCAATAAATTAATATCATTCTTGCAGTTAACAAAATCAGTATCTTTCTTAATTTTATTTGATTCTGACTTGACAAGTTCATCAACATCTTTGTCCTTTAGATTTGGACATAACAGGCCTCTGAAATCTTTCTCTACATCCAATGGCAACCACTTAAAATCCCCATCACACTCATTATTCCCTGTTTTTGATTTCTTCTCTTCAAAAATTTGCTTGAGCCACCTTTCAAAATCATTCAGATACTTATCATAAACTAATTTCACCGATGAGAAAACTTTAAGGTTCAAACCCAATTCCTTGGACACAGAACCCCACAATCTTTTTTTCGCCACCACGGCATACCCACCTCTTTCCTTCACAATGGAAAACAATTTGTACAAATCTAGCTGGTGACCATCGATCAAAACCGGCAAAGGCCGAACCACACCTTTAGAACAATTATCCTTCAGGTAAACTGGAAAAAGTTTATAGAACAAACATCTTTGTTTAAGTTTGTCACAGTCGGCTTCATTATCAACATGGTCTTTTCCAAGGCAACAGCCGTTACCAGGAAATGCACCAACAGTTTCAACTCCAGGGCAATCTAAGGAAGACCCATTTGAGAATGTTGACCATCCTTCCATGAACTTCGATTCCCTGCTTTCGATGCTTGATACGTCTTGATAAAAAAATTAAGGGTATGAAAATCACAAACAAAAATCCTAAGTTGTCATCTTCTAGGCGTTGATCACACAAACACATACCAAAATTAACAGATGGGACGGCTTGCCGAGAGAACAACTACAGATACGGATGATAGATTGATCTTGATGCACAAAATAATTGGAAAATGAGTAAAGAGGTGTGGCCATTTGCTGGTTTTGTAGGCAGAATTACCTCATTGTAATAGGTACTGCTGAGGCATCAGAGAATAATTAGACAAGATCGAAGTTGAAACCTGGAACCTGAGAATATGGAACATTGATCAGTGACGAAAACTGATACCAGATTTGACTGTTGCAAGCGAAAAACGAACACGGTAGAAGCATGGAACTGCAGGAACATCAGACGGGTAAGAAATACAACACAGAATAAGGAGTCAAAGTAAATAAAAAAGAATAAAAAAGCCCTCTCTTCTCTTACCTTCCTCCTCTTTGAACTTCTTGAAGAAGGTTGCATTTAAAATAAATAAATAAAGATTTAATATAAGGTACACATTTACTAGGGTTAGTGGAATGAATTGGGCTAACAAAAAACAAGACAAGTTATTATGTAATATATATGTATATATATATATATATATTAGGGTTAGTGAAAAAGGGTTGATTAACCAAAATGGGCTTGGTACAACCCATAACAAATCCATTAAAAGTGTAAAGAAGTTTGAATCGATTTGAGTTTAAGTTTATTAAAGATTAAAATTAAATAACTTGTTATATTGATTTAATTTTAACATATTAAAAGAGTAAAAAGAAAAATTATGTATAAAATCAAATTAGTATCATATATTATTTACAACACTTTAACTATAATTGATATAAGAGGAGAATTATAAGTTACAAAAATATTTTTGGTTTTTTTTTTTTTTTTTTTATCGGCAAATGTTAGTAATTAGTAAGTTATGTTAGTTGGGTCACAAGGGGTTCGAACCTCCGACCATCCTTATTCCTCCGGCCCCAGGACCACCCCCTTTCAAAAGTATTTTTTTCATTCAACTTTCTTATATTTGTTAGTTTCTTTTAGGACAAAAGAAAATCATCCGCATTCATTCATAATTCAGTACAAAAAGATATAAACTTGTGAACATGTAAACTTATATAAAATCTAAAATTTTAAACTAAAACACGAATAGATCGATTAATTTGTCTACAAACAAACTTGACAGTATAATTCAAATTTATAATCAAAATCTCTTCAAAATAGAGTCGATTTCATTATTCATAATTTTTTTTTTTGCATGTTGCAACTTTGACAATTTGTTAACACTCAGATTCAACAACTTGTGTGAAATTCATATATGTGACTTGTGTAAATACATTGATACCAACTAGTTAAAGTTGAAAAAGATCTATCAGGGTGATCATCAGTAAGGTCTCATAACTATAGTGTCTAACATTAGCAAAATTTGCACTTTAGTGTCTCAATAGAAGGACTCTCCCAAGATGAAATAGCATGAGTCAAAGTTGCAGCATGAGAGTCCTTTTTATTTTTCTTGTTCTATGCAAACTTTCAGTAATGAATTATTTGTGTAGTCAAGTTGAAAGAGAAAAATGTTGGAAACTTCACATTATTCTGCACTTACCATTTTTCCCTTTTCCATATACATTAAAACCTAAAAACCATTTTCTCTTTTCCTATTGGAGTCAAATTTGCAAGAGTCTGAAAGATATCATTCTTGAAGTTATCAATGTTGTTTGTTGCATCGTTATATTTGTTAATCTTAAGTTTCACTATTAGAATATTCTAGTTAATAAAAAACTATTTTGTTTTAATATGAATTTTCAAAAATTAAGCTAGTTAACTTATAATTTATATGATTTTGGTTAATTTATAAACTAAATTTACTAAATACTTTTTAGATGGGTAAAAATACAACTACAAATAATTACTTGTAAAATTTAATAGAAATGAATTGAATAAGTTACCTTATATGTGTGTGCAAGTATACATGCGAATACGTGCAGTGCTGACATAAATAAATAAATAAGATATATATATATATATATAAATAAAGATGTCAAGTTAATTGATAAGTAACTTTAAAAGAATTATTCTTTATATTTCTCTCAATTTAATAGTTGTAATGAATACTCCATTTTTTTACTATTAGATTGAAGAAGAAAAAAAAATTTATTATGAAGTGGGATCTCTTTATCTTGTACTTTGATGAAGAAATTTATAAACTCAAAGAAATAAAATTTAAAAAATTTACTTCGATTTCAATTTTGTTATTTCATAGAAAAATTTGGTTTTAAATATATCTATATATATATATATCAAAGTTTTAAAATTAAACTTTATTAAAATAAAAATTAACTAATTTTAAAATGCTTAATTTTTTTAAAAAATTAAATATTAAAAAAAATTTAAAAAAATATTTATACTTTTATGTTGATATTAAAAAAAGGAAGAGGGGTAGGAGAAAAAGAATAAAGAAGAAAGAGAAAGAGAAAGAAAGAAAAAAGAAAATAAATAAAAATTAAAGAGAAATTTTTTTTATATTATTATTTATGCATATTTTATTATTTTTAAAAAACATATTATCATTATTATTTATTTTATCCTTTTAACTCCACAGACATAAAATCCTTACTCTTATATTCTTGGGTGTAATAGAAATCAAATTTATGTATTTCTTTAAGTAAAATTATGTGTCTTAGCATTTTTTTTATTTTGTATTTTATATTTATTTGTTAGGGTGAGAATTTTCTTTTAATATAAGATAGTGAGTGGGCAAGTGACTATATGTGTACCCATACAAGTCACACAATATGCGAAGACGGTATAAATTACACATTGACGTTGAATATATAGTTGCGAGAATTTTAAAAAATATTATTATATTGTAAAAATAATTTATAAAATTACATATTAAGTGACATCATAATGATTTTCATTTTAATATAATAATATAACTCACAATGCACGAGATACAAGATAGTACATATGATTATATATACAAACAAATCATACAATAGGAATAAAATAGTACCAACAATTTATTGATAATGCATTACATAAAATTTATTTCATTAATATTAAATAAGATCAATTTATTTTTATAGAAATAATGTCTGACACTATGACTAGAGGAGACTATATATATATCTAAATGATCATTTATCTTGTGCTTAAAAGAGGGTTAGGAAGTGGAGGGGATGAAAGAGAATAAGTGAAAATTAATTTGATAAGAAATATATAGAAAATAAAGTGAAATTTTTAGTTGATTGATACAATGATCGAATTTAATTAGTCGCTAAAACTCTGGTCGCTAAGTTATTTAGCGACTGAAAAAAATTTTGTCGCTATTTTTAGCGACTGAAAATTTTGGTCGCTAAATGGTTTAAATGATTTTGGTCGTTGAAGCGTATGAGACCAAATTAGTGACCGAATAAATCGGTCGCTAAATATTGATTTTTATTTTATATCAATTTTTGTTAAAATTAAATAACTTAAAAGTAATCAAAGTGCTCATATTTTATTTGAAATGTATATATTACGTCAATTTTGTTTTACAAGAATGAAGTATCAAATCATCTTGAATTCATATAAGATTATGTATATATGATCTAAGAGTAAAAACTTTCAATCTAACGGTTGAATTTATAAAATTCACATTTAATATAAAGTTATTGAGCGATGTAATACTTAGTAAAAGTTACACCGATGTTATTATAACCCTTCTCTTTTAAAATATTATTTTTATAAATTAAATTTTAACATTTTAAATAAATTATTAATTAACTTAATATATTTATTCATCTTAAATCTAAGATATAAAATTCAAAAAATATATTTATCCTTGTTTTATTTTCTAATTATCAACTATTAATAAAATACTAATTTAAAATTTAAATATAAAAATTTATTTAAAAATAAAGTTATCATAAGTTAGAAATATATATTATAAATATGGATCAAAATAAATAATAAATTTTAAAATTCATATAGTCTAATTAAAAAATTACCTAAAAATCCAATCGTGAAAAAAATTCTCTAAATATTTTGTCACATAAATAACTATTGGTATTAATTATGTAGGAGTACATATAAACATTTTTTTAATATAAATTAATGTCTTGCTCTTACAAAAAAAGAAAATGGGATTGATACTCAACAAAAATATTATCATCACTTTTAAGAAATTTATAAATTTTTTTAAGTTTTACTTAGTGACCGAATAGAATTTCGTCGCTAATTTTAACTAATATTTAGCGACTGAATAGAATTATGTTGCTAATTTTAACTAATATTTAGCAACCGAATAGAATTATATCGCTAATTGTAACTAATATTTAGCGATCGAATTTAATTCTATCGCTAAAAAAATAAAAAAAAATTATTTAGAGACCGTATTCAATTTCGTCACTAATTTTAACTAATATTTAGCGACCAAATTTAATTCTGACGCTAAAAAAGTCAAAATTTCTGATTTAGCGACCGAATTAAATTTGGTCACTAAATATTAGATATATAGCGGCCGAATTCAATTCTATCGCTAATTTTAACTAATATTTAGCGACCAAATTTAATTCTGACGCTAAAAAAGTCAAAATTTCTGATTTAGCGACCGAATTAAATTTGGTCACTAAATATTAGATATATAGCGGCCGAATTCAATTCTATCGCTAATTTTAACTAATATTTAGCGACCAAATTTAATTCTGACGCTAAAAAAGTCAAAATTTCTGATTTAGCGACCGAATTAAATTTGGTCACTAAATATTAGATATATAGCGGCCGAATTCAATTCTATCGCTAATTTTAACTAATATTTAGCGACCAAATTTAATTCTGACGCTAAAAAAGTCAAAATTTCTGATTTAGCGACCGAATTAAATTTGGTCACTAAATATTAGATATATAGCGGCCGAATTCAATTCTATCGCTAATTTTAACTAATATTTAGCGACCAAATTTAATTCTGACGCTAAAAAAGTCAAAATTTCTGATTTAGCGACCGAATTAAATTTGGTCACTAAATATTAGATATATAGCGGCCGAATTCAATTCTATCGCTAATTTTAACTAATATTTAGCAATCGAATTAAATTTTGTCGCTAAAAAATCAAAATTTATAATTTAGCGACCGAATTTAATTCTGTCGCTAAAAAATCAAAATTTCTTATTTAGTGACCGAAATAGCGACCGATATTCTAGTGACAACTTATTTTGATCGTTAAATCGGTCGCTATTTTGATTTTTCATAATCGATCGCTAAATTGTGACAGATAAATTTCGGTCGCTATTTTGTAATTTTTTAGTAGTGTGAAATATAATAGACAACATATTCAAATATAGTTAAACATAATGTAATATATGTGTCCATATTCAAATATCTTGCAAAATATATTTGAATATCATACATAATATAGGTTTTTAAACATAACATATTTGAGCAGGCACGAGTAATTGAAAGATATAGGGGGTATTAATGTTTTTAGTCTGAATTTCGCTCAAATTTCCCTATTTTTTAATGTAGGTATTGTTCATGTGGGATCCACCACAAATTCACTTAA